CTTCAAGAGACATTGTTCAGTCTAAAGAGGTAAAGAAATCTGCCATGACAAAAATCCAAATGAATTGTACAGATCGTCACATAGAACTGCTTATCATTCAGGAAAAGGAAAAATATTGACATCGCAGTATGAATCAGCAGAAGTTTGGTCACTGGTATTTTCAAAATTAATAATTCTGTGTATAAAACTATTTTCTGACGTGTCAATTAGCTTACGGTTGGTGGTATTGTTCGTCTGGACAAGTTTATCATTACAGTACAATCACAGAACGCTGGCAATATTCTGTCGTATTAGAGTAATTTGAGGAACCGCTTTGCTAAGAGAGAAATCTATGTACTTAGGTCAATATCCTTCGATCATCTTTCGATAATATTGAGCAGTGTTGACAAGTGTACATGTTTTTTTATTAAGACATTCAAACCAACAATTAAGTATTCACCTTACATAAAACTCTCGTTTACGCGCGTCATTACTTTTTTGACATCTTTTTTAAAAATAATTAGTTGACAAATAACAAAGCCGACGAATTAGCCTGTCATCCGGAAACGGGATCGTACAAGGTGTACAGGCATGCGTTCGGACCTTTAATTAGCACACCAGTGGAAACGTGGCGCGCTTCCGTGTATTATTTGACGCGAGTCTGCCGACAAGTACCCGACTGTATTGGGTAAACACTATGGACCGTGTCGTGTTCTGGACTGACATTCTACTCCTGCCATTGCCATCCTCTTCTCTATCGTCCCACTCCTGAAGTAACGTACACAACAATGGTCACTGTTGTCAAACGGAGCGTGGCACGAGTCTAGCTATTCCATTGATACCTTACCTGTGGGGCCCATGCGGGGGAACCGTATTGCATACTTCAGTAGAGCACAAAAACCGATAAATGCTGAGGTCAGACATGTCATGGTAAACTTGAACTGCTAATAAGTTTTAGAATCACTCAGATGTGCTTTCCATAATGAGAATTTACTTTCATGATTAAGTTTAACAAATAATTAGTCCTTCATGCTATCTTCGAATTTTCTACTTATACGATATTTAGAGCCTAACAACTGTTGTTTACCTGGCCTTTGTAACGAATTCAATAGCTGACTAGACCTAAGCGATTGTCAGTTAGTCCGGCATGACGAGTTTAATTAGTGTTCTTTGACATGTTTAATTACGTCCTGCGTGGCGTGTTTAGTTGTTTATGTATGACGTTTGTCTAGTTAGTCCTGTATGAAGTGTTTAATCGGCCCTGTAGGACGTGTCTAGTTAGTCCTGTCTGAAGTGTTTAATCAGCCCTGTAGGACGTGTCTAGTTAGTCCTGTGTTATTTGTGTAGTTAGTACTGTATGAAGTGTCTAGTTAGTCCTGTGTTATTTGTGTAGTTAGTCCTGTATGAAGTGTTATATCAGCCCTGTAGGACGTGTCTAGTTAGTCCTGTATGAAGTGTTTAATTAGCCCTGTAGGATGTGTCTATTTAGTCCTGTATGAAGTGTTTAATCAGCCCTGTAGGACGTGTTTAATCAGCCCTGTAGGATGTGTCTATTTAGTCCTGTATGAAGTGTTTAATCAGCCCTGTAGGACGTGTCTAGTTAGTCCTATATGAAGTGTTATATCAGCTCTGTAGGACGTGTCTAGTTAGTCCTGTGTTATTTGTGTAGTTAGTACTGTATGAAGTGTCTAGTTAGTCCTGTGTTATTTGTGTAGTTAGTCCTGTATGAAGTGTTATATCAGCCCTGTAGGACGTGTCCAGTTAGTCCTGTATGAAGTGTTTAATTAGCCCTGTAGGACGTGTCTATTTAGTCCTGTATGAAGTGTTTAATCAGCCCTGTAGGACGTGTTTAATCAGCCCTGTAGGACGTGTCTAGTTAGTCCTGTATGAAGTGTTTAATCAGCCCTGTAGGACGTGTCTAGTTAGTCCTATATGAAGTGTTATATCAGCTCTGTAGGACGTGTCTAGTTAGTCCTGTGTTATTTGTGTAGTTAGTACTGTATGAAGTGTCTAGTTAGTACTGTATGAAGTGTCTAGTTAGTCCTGTGTTATTTCTGTAGTTAGTCCTGTATGAAGTGTCTAGTTAGTCCTATGTTATTTGTGTAGTTAGTCTTGTATGAAGTGTCTAGTTAGTACTGTATGAAGTGTCTAGTTAGTCCTGTATGAAGTGTCTAGTTAGTCCTGTGTTATTTGTGTAGTTAGTCTTGTATGAAGTGTCTACTTAGTACTGTATGAAGTGTCTAGTTAGTCCTGTATGAAGTGTCTAGTTAGTCCTGTGTTATTTGTGTAGTGAGTACTGTATGAAGTGTCTAGGTAGTACTGTATGAAGTGTCTAGTTAGTCCTGTGTTATTTCTGTAGTTAGTCCTGTATGAAGTGTCTAGTTAGTCCTATGTTATTTGTGTAGTTAGTCTTGTATGAAGTGTCTAGTTAGTACTGTATGAAGTGTCTAGTTAGTCCTGTGTTATTTGTGTAGTTAGTCTTGTATGAAGTGTCTAGTTAGTACTGTATGAAGTGTCTAGTTAGTCCTGTATGAAGTGTCTAGTTAGTCCTGTATGGAGTGTCTAGTTAGTCCTGTATGAAGTGTTCAGTAAGTGATGTATAACATGTTTAATTGTTCCTGTTTTTGTCTAGTTAGTCGAGTATGACGTGTTAAGTTAGTCATTTGTGCTGTGTTAATTAGCCCTGTATTACGTTTGTGTACAATTTGTTCAGTTACACAAGTGTAACATGTTTAGTGAGTACTGTAGGACGCGTTAAGTTAGTTTATACCGTGTGACGTGTTTAATCAGTCCAGTAGGACGCGTTAAGTTAGTTTATACCGTGTGACGTGTTTAATTAGTCCTGTAGGACGCGTTAAGTTAGTTTATACCGTGTGACGTGTTTAATCAATCCTGTAGGACGCGTTAAGTTAGTTTATACCGTGTGACGTGTTTAATTAGTCCTGTGTGACGTGTTAAGTTAGTTTATACCGTGTGACGTGTTTAATTAGTCCTGTAGGACGTGTTAAGTTAGTTTATACCGTGTGACGTGTTTAATTAGTCCTGTAGGACGCGTTAAGTTAGTTTATACCGTGTGACGTGTTTAATTAGTCCTGTGTGACGTGTTAAGTTAGTTTATACCGTGTGACCTTTTTTTAATTAGTCCTGTGTGACGTGTTAAGGTAGTTTATACCGTGTGACGTGTTTGATTAGTCCTGTGTGACGTGTTAAGTTAGTTTATACCGTGTGACGTGTTTAATTAGTCCTGTAGGACGCGTTAAGTTAGTTTATACCGTGTGACGTGTTTAATTAGTCCTGTGTGACGTGTTAAGTTAGTTTATACCGTGTGACCTTTTTTTAATTAGTCCTGTGTGACGTGTTAAGTTAGTTAATACCGTGTGACGTGTTTGATTAGTCCTGTGTGACGTGTTAAGTTAGTTTATACCGTGTGACGTGTTTAATTAGTCCTGTGTGACTTGTTGAGGTAATGGTGTATGTCGTGTTTTATTCCTGTACGATGTGTTTAGTTAGCCCTGTATAATCAATTTGACAAGACCTCTGAGAGTCCAGTTTTCGCTATTACATATACCACCTTGAACGATAGCATCATTTATACGGGTTTAAATCCTATTCTCCTTTCAAAGGCTGGTTTTGATTACAAACAGTGTACGTATGGGACAATAAATATGAGTAGTCACTTAACAAGGTGTCGCTTTGTTTCTTGAAAGAATATTCTATTGAATCAACGAAGCATTCAGTTCATGTACCAGTGAACGAAGCATTTGGTTTATGTGGTTGATGCAGGTGAGCATGCATGTTATAATGGTAAGATTCTAAACACGGGTATATTTCTCCAATATCAATATAAATTTAATTTTTTTTATAAGGACACGTGTTACATTTTGTTATTGAATTTAAGGAAATTCACCACACAAGTGATTGAATTCTTTTCAAATTTGAAAAAAAATTGTTCAATGTTGATTTTTCGAAATAATAACCAAAAACATCTTTAGCTCGTAAAATCAAGCAAATGATATTCCATGAAAGCGACTAATTTGATTTTAAATGGGTGTATGACTTGGGGGTCAGGGCTAAGGAGATGAAGAGAGATAGTGTTAGTTCCATGCCAGGCTGATCAAAGGGACAACTCTACTGTATCACCGTTACTTTATTTCTTTAATTACTGATGAGGCGTTTTCATTCCAACCAGTTATTTATCACTGTCACAATTATTTGCGTTTGAGGTAACAAAATCGATTTTTTAATTTTTTTTATTTATTTATTTATTTTGGCATTTTAAACTATCCAGAAATTATAAAGTTAGAATATATTTGATGCCGTCTGCGTCAATACTCAGCCTGCAGTTTCTTTCTAGCGTGTTTGATTTGTTAATCAAAGTTTCCCTTCGGGGCCCCTCACCTGAATGTAAGGTATTTGTCGAGTGATCAGTTGCTTTACCGAGAGATACGCCTTGTCGTCAAATGGCCCACGACTGTCACGTGCCATTCCGTAACTCCGCCCTCGCACGCTCCGCCGACGATTACACATCTTGATTCCGAGCACGCCAGCCAATCACAGAGCGGTAGTTTGTCATCAGCATCATATCCTTACCTGTAAAAACTTTGTCAACTGTAAAAGTTTTACAGGTATTGGGATATATAAGTAAGACAATCTCGTAAGTCTGCCACAAATTAGAGGGCAGAGTCACAGAGCAGACGACACTTGAATTACTGCAAGTGCCTTGTGAATGTCCGTAGGTGTCTCGAGTGTTTTATGGAACAAACAGCTTTAGGCACACCTGTATATACTCCAAACCTGCTATAGCTGCTAAGTATTAGATGTCATTTCAACCACAGGACTTTTGACGAGAACATTTACTTTTCATTTATATTAATCTATCACAAATTCACCTGTTGCTGCATCTGAACATCTGAAGTACACAAACTGATTACTAGTTTTGAAGATGTATTGAATTATCGTTTTGAGTGTCGGGGCCAACTTACACGAGAGTGATACAGAACTTGGTGTGTGAGTGTTTAAAGATGGACGTACAATCCCAGCATCAGGACCAATGCGATATGCAGTCTTACGACACTGCCAATATCTCCACTTACGGCATGACATCATCACCATCGACGTCATCGTCTCCCGGATCGATCATCTCAAGCGGAATGTACCCTGAGTACACAGACTGGGGTCACGCATCACAAACCGAGCTCCATCAGTACGTACCCTATCCCCAGATTCCCCAAACGGACATTGTGGCCCCGGGGTCGTTCTGGCAAGGAGATATGCACACGGGGCTACCGTCAAATTTTTCCTACACCACAATGGAACGAGTACCGAGTTATGAGTACAATACAGGACTTATGAATCAAGTACCAGCTCCAATAGTGAGTACAAGCAGTACCCCTACTAACACGACCAAGTCTGGCAAGACGAAGCGGAAACGTGTGCAGAGTGTTCCACAGCGTAGAGCCGCAAACATCCGGGAAAGGCGACGCATGTTTCATCTCAACGAGGCGTTTGACAGTCTCCGTAAGCGTCTACCGGCATTTAACTACGAGAAGCGGTTATCGCGTATTGAAACCCTGCGCTTGGCAATGACGTACATCGGGTTTATGAAGGACATTTCAGAAGGCGAGGATCCGAAGGATGTGAAGCTACAGGCCTTCAAGTCCGACAGTGATATTTTCGGACAATTATCTGAGGGAGAAAATAAGCTCCCATCATAACTTAGGACTGACTGAGAGAAAAGAGTGACATTCTGTAATATATGGCTAGTCAGTTTGTTTACTGTTCGACAGAATCGAAGAGGTAACTAATTATTGTTCAAATGCATCAATTCCATTTGGCTTTGGCATACATGATGTATTACGATGTCTGTTCGTTATATAAATGAGATGTTTCCTTAATATAGATCAATCTGGTTATACTTTTGAGAAAGTTAATAATTATCAAAGCAGTAGAACGTATATAAATTTATTGAAAATACATTTTACAAACAATATTTTTGATGTGTCAGAAATCCTACAAATTTTATTATATCATTATTCCCTTCATCAGAATTTTAAAAGCTTTCTTTATTCCTACGTATGATAGAAATATGGAGATTGTGAATACATCCTACATGTTTGGAAATCATAAAGTGATAAATCCAATACTTTTATATATACAACCACTAAGTGTTCAACTTACTGAAGTGCAATTAGAATTTAGGTATTATTTTATGAATTCCTGAAGTCAATAATATTTTATTTACCTTTTATGTGTTCAGTGGCTATTTCACCAAAAGTGCGCCTTATCTTGTACATTGTACACCAATGATGTTAGAATTGACGATCTAATATAAAATATTTTATTGTGTATACAGGTTTTATTTTTGTCTTTTTGTGACAAAAATAAACAAAAAGCATATTATATTGTTATGCATGTTACTATTTTTAATAAAAAAAACTATTACTAAATGTTTATCGTTGTATTTTTGTGTCCTATGATATGAAAAACGAACATTCCGTCATACTCCTAAGTCAGCTGGTAGGATTGAGCTTGACGGATGACTTTTACAGGTGTTGTGCCGAGACAAAACAGGTGCTCTATTTGAAATTGATTTCACGTTAGTGCGTGTAGTAAGCAATCACGCCAACTTCGGGATGCTGGAAAAGAAAACACCACTATTTTACATAATAGAAGTTGTAGCGTATTGTTACAAGGCGTAGTGGTTATGTGCACGATCTCTGAACACCCGGTTCTGTTTCAAAAATAACCTGGCGTTTGCACTAACTAGTTTGATATGAATTTAGCTCACTATATTCCGCGCACAAGTTCAGTTTGGAAATAAAAATTCTGACTTAAGTTAGAAATAAAGTTAGTGATCTGTCGACCAAATGCATAAAGTTGTTTGATCATATACATTCAACATTAATCCAGTTTGATTCCAGATAATAAAGAGAGCCTACAGTTACTCTGATCCTGTAGAAACTGCAAGGACTTACAGAATGTCCAGTATAACTTGTAAGAAAATGTTGACAAATTATAATTTATAATAATTATAAATCGTATTATATTGTGACCCGAATCTAGTGGCCTCTATAGACAGGTTTTTATTACATACAGATGACCTCTATAGACAGGTTGTTATTACATATAGATGGCCTCTATAGACAGGTTATTACACACATATGGTCACTATACACAGGTTATTACATACAGATGACCTCTATAGAAAGGTTATTACATAAAGATGACCTCTATAGAAAGGTTGTTATTACATATAGGTGGCCTCTATAGACAGGTTATTACACACATATGGTCACTATACACAGGTTATTACATACAGATGACCTCTATAGAAAGGTTATTACATAAAGATGACCTCTATAGAAAGGTTATTACATACAGATGACCTCTATAGAAAGGTTATTCCATACAGATGGCCTTTGATGGAGGTTTGACTGTTCATAAAATTGAAAGATAGAAAGTAAATGTTACGCTGTGTCTTATTACAGAGTTTTGATTTAGAGCTCGTTATAATAAAAACATATTTCTATTCATAAAATATCGTAATAATTTGTCAATATGTGATATCCAACAAAATCTACGAACGTGTCTGTGTATATTTCCGTAAGTTTCTATATAAGGCAAATTTCAGTTTTCATTTAAGGTATCACATAAATAATGACAGTTCACATTCAGGCGATAAACCCTCCCGGTAAAGAAAATATGAATACAAATCAATGTGAGATTTGGGTCATCAAACGATTATGATTTCCAACAGTTTATCTCAAGATTTTAAGTTTTCTTTATTCAAATGTTTGTGGACTTAATTATTCAAATATTTGTGGACATAATTATTCACATGTTTGTGTTTCGGTCACGTTTAAAGGTTTCTTAGTATCACACTAAATAGATTAACCAATAACCGATCAAAGGGAAAATTCTGTACATAAAGGGCATCTTATTATCAAGTCGAATCCTTCAGACAGTGGTTTACATTGTACATCCATTTCATTTATTGTCAAAATGACGTCAGTGTTGAGACGATGTCATGTATGGTTACACAATACTGTATGCATGGTATCAAATGATTACACAGAAGGGTTTAGTTTTATGGGTATAAAGGTACCATGTATCATACTGGTTTTTAAAACCAATTTTATCACATGAATAATATACAGATAGATCGGACACAAGTTATCACAACTTATCAATGTCCTCTCCATAATACAAGTATACAAATAGATCGGATGCAGGTTATCACAACTTATCAATGTCCTCTCCATAGTACAAGTATACAAATAGATCGGACGCAGGTTATCACAACTTATCAATGTCCCCTCCATAACACAAGTATACAGATAGATCGGACGCAGGTTATCACAACTTATCAATGTCCTCTCCATAACACAAGTATACAAATAGATCGGACGTATGTTATCACAACTTATCAATGTCCTCTCCATAATACAAGTATACAAATAGATCGGACGTATGTTATCACAACTTATCAATGTCCTTTCCAACAAACAAGTGTACAAAAAGATCGGACCTATGTTATCACAACTTATCAATGTCCTCTCCATAATACAAGTATACAAATAGATCGGATGCAGGTTATCACAACTTATCAATGTCCTCTCCATAGTACAAGTATACAAATAGATCGGACGCAGGTTATCACAACTTATCAATGTCCCCTCCATAACACAAGTATACAGATAGATCGGACGCAGGTTATCACAACTTATCAATGTCCTCTCCATAACACAAGTATACAAATAGATCGGACGTATGTTATCACAACTTATCAATGTCCTCTCCATAATACAAGTATACAAATAGATCGGACGTATGTTATCACAACTTATCAATGTCCTTTCCAACAAACAAGTGTACAAAAAGATCGGACCTATGTTATCACAACTTATCAATGTCCTCTCCATAATACAAGTATACAAATAGATCGGACGTATGTTATCACAACTTATCAATGTCCTCTCCATAATACAAGTATACAAATAGATCGGATGCAGGTTATCACAATTTATCAATGTCCTCTCCATAACACAAGTATACAAATAGATCGGACGTATGTTATCACAACTTATCAATGTCCCCTCCATAACACAAGTATACAAATAGATCGGACGCAGGTTATCACAACTTATCAATGTCCTCTCCATAGTACAAGTATACAAATAGATCGGACGCAGGTTATCACAACTTATCAATGTTCCCTCCATAACACAACTATACAAATAGATAGGATGCAGGTTATCACAACTTATCAATGTCCTCTCCATAACACAAGTATACAAATAGATCGGACGCAGGTTATCACAACTTATCAATGTCCTCTCCATAACACAAGTATACAGATAGATCGGACGCAGGTTATCACATCTTATCAATGTCCCCTCCATAACACAAGTATACAAATAGATCGGATGCAGGTTATCACAACTTATCAATGTCCTCTCCATAACACAAGTATACAAATAGATCGGACGCAGGTTATCACAACTTATCAATGTCCTCTCCATAACACAAGTATACAGATAGATCGGACGCAGGTTATCACATCTTATCAATGTCCCCTCCATAACACAAGTATACAAATAGATCGGACACAGGTTATCACAACTTATCAATGTCCTCTCCATGATACAAGTATACAGATAGATCGGACGCAGGTTATCACAACTTATCAATGTCCTTTGTTAACTATATATATATATCAAATACCAAGCATTGCATTTTTGTTCCTGAAATGTTTCAAGATGTTGACGTTTATATAAGGACTTGATATGAAAAAAGTCCAATAACAGTTGAGTCGTCAAAAGAACGAAAAATCTTGAAAAACTTTCCTCGATATAAATCCGCCTTCTATAAATTACTGTTACCGATATCTGATGTCTTCAACACCCAGTTAATGATTCCGGACACTCATCTTTACCAAGAAAAATGTGATCTTCAATCTGTTTGGAAAGGAGTAATAATCTTATAGTAATTTGTAGCGAATAAAAATTTATACATATTCATAAGTTTGGTCGTTTGGTATCACACCGTTACATTTTGACCATATTGTATAAAAGGATTTTATAACCTTTAAAGTTTTCGTTCTGGATTTTAAGTGGGACCATTTAGCATCTTATTTCAGGATGACATCTGATAACATCAGTACTGATGAAACCGCGCAAGTGATATTAAATGCGTTCTTACTTTTTTTATCTGATCGCTAATCCTTAATTAATTTTCATCACACATCCTTTATTGATTTATTGTTCATTGTTTGAAAATTATGCAGTCATTTTAGACCGATCTTATCGACTTAAGCATTTAAAATAAAAAGTAAACAGCTTTAATATCCCATCTAACAGAGCACCAGTTGACGGCATGTCCAAGAACCAGGCGCACTAAGTTATACAATAGCTACAGTGTACAACAAAAGGTACCGTCATACTTTCTCGTACTTAATTGACTTTATTAATTTGATGAAATCTGTAAAATCTATATGTAACCAATGGTTTATTTGGAAAGAAAAGATGGAGTGGGTGATGAAACAAAGATAAAAGGAATGAAGTATGCAAGAGGAATGACATTAGGAATGGAGGCCGGGAGAATTTAAGATATACCGGAGTGAAAGGATGAAGTATGAGACAGAGAAAGGCTGTAAAATATGGAGGAAGGGAGGAAGTATGAGAGAGAGAAAGGGTGTAAACTATAGAGAGAGGAA